TCCTGCTCAGTACCTGCCCACCAGCTCAGGGGCAGGACTGGGTGAGGACACTGCATAAAGAGACTGCATTCTCAGAACATTCCTGACGTATATTAAGAGAAAACTCTGCCCTGGTGTGGAATCTTGTCCAACTTGAACTCTGCTTGGTTGAAGCCAGTTTTCATGAATAAACTCTTTTAAGGTAACTTGGGGATTTGGATTCATGCCAAGTGCCTTCAAAATCTGAGCCAACCACATTCAGACACCAAAGACAAAAAAAAAAAGGAAAAAGAAAAGTCATACCTGGGCTTATCGCCACAGACAAGGAACACAGAATTGTGATCAGAATCCAATGGCACGTGACATCCACTGTCAGACGGCCAAGCTGCCCACACCTCTTCTTAATAGACAATAAACACCTCTGAACTGTTACCCTAAACATGCTCTCTACCCTTCTTGGCTTTTTAAGTTTCTTTTGCATTCAATTCTTGTACATTTTTCTCTGAGGGAAACCAGAGAAAAATGTGACAGTCACTGATAGAATCTCTTTAAGAGGAAAGAATCTCTTTTTAAGATGAACACTGACTGACTGGAAACAAATCAGTATGTACACTGACATCTGTAAGCGGCTACGTTCAGCAGCCTGTGGAATCTGCCAGAACCAGTGATGGTTACCTCAATATTACGAACGTCGCATGGATGAGTCAGCCTCATGGGACACCTGGGGCCTAACCCAGTCACCTTGCAAACAAGTCCCAGTTCTAAAAGTGTGCAGGGGGGCATTCACCCTACTCAAAAGGCCAGTCCTAGTGGTGGGAGCTAGGTTTCATTTTTCTATACACCAAGCAAGGGCTATAGCCAAGGGCTTTTCAAACGCTAATTTCAGGAACCAACAAGGCCAAAATAAACAAGGCCAGAAATCCCAACTACTTTGAGAAAATATTTCTTCATTAAATATTCAGTTCCTGGCAAATAAGAATCTGACATTCAGCTTTCCTATTTTTAGAAGGCGCTAAGTCATGTCCCGATAACACAGTTCTAATGACACAACCAGCTAGACCGGAAACTTGCAACAAACATAGGGCTCCTTCAACTCCATACCAGGAAAACTTCCTACCTGACTTTTCTAGTCCCACTTGCGAGACAGTCAACAGAGCAAGATATTGCAGGGAATCTAGATGAGGTTTTCTGATGGAAAAACAACAGGGGAAACCATTAACAGTTCTGTAGTAACACCTACTTGAAGAAATCATCTTACTGAAAATCAATGAGCGTTTCTCCAAAGATGCAAGTATTTTTTTTTTTTTTTTTTAACGGATGCTATCGTGAGGAGATCACGTAGCTAGAGCACTGGGAAATGTTGGGCAGTGTTAATTCAACACTCACTGATGCGGGATTGCTAGCCCCAAAAATGTTTTCGGTGAGAAAGTCTAAGAAAGTGCCATAAAGTGTCTTTAAGTAACCAGTTTTTCTGGTGACTTGAGCAGAAGAAATACTTGAGTAACTATAAATCGTTGCCCTACCTACCAAGTGAGCCATAAGTTAAGGAAAGGAGACACAGTGAATCAACGCTCCCGTAGTGGGCCCTGTTGGTTACCTGCATGATACACAGCATCTCTTTCCTTCCTCTAAGAGAATTCTGATTTTGATCAATTATTCAGGGCAAAAAAGGGGCTCCAGGGTCAGAGTTAGTTTGATCCCAACCGATGCACTGAAGTTCGCTGGCAGCTGTTAATGGTGCAGAGGATGGTATAGGCCTGAAGTTGTCCCAACTGACTTTAATTGGATAGGATCCACCTAGAGACTGGGCATAAGTACTTTCATTCCATGGTTAGAGGCTCTCTCCTGCTGTACATAAATAAGAAGTTCGTAGACCTTACTGCCTTGAAAGCACAAAGCAAACCAGATTTAGGGTGAAGTGATGCTGTGAACTAAGCCGGAGAGACAGAGAGATCCAGCCTCTCCTCAATAACATTGCTGAACTCCTGCACCAAACAACCACCCACCTCCGCTTCCAATTCCAGCAACAATATTCGCTTCATCCACTCTGCATACTTTTCTGCTACTTGCATCTACATTGGGAAGGAGCATGTTACATTGTAAGGAACTTTCAAATGTCAAGGGAGCAGTCCAGAAGTTTCAGCAACCACAAATGACAAAGTATCTACTACCTTATATTACTACAATGGGCTAAAAAGCTTTTCAGGACTCCAAACCCTAGAAACAGGACACTTACTGTAAGAAATAAGAGAAAAATTTTCATCTTTGCAGATATAAAAACCACAACTGCACTATCAACTTTCCATTCCCTAAAGAACAAAAACTCACAATTAATCTGAACTATTTAGGTTAAGAGGACTGTCAACAGCCATGCTTCTCCTGAATTACGACTTATCTTCACCTTTCACATCGAAAACTGCATTACTGTGATTATCACACCAAGAGCCAGGTATGCCTCCTGCCCAGCCCACGTTTAAAGGCGTCTACACATCCACGCACATAACCAGTCATCACCCCGACCCCAGGCATGCTGCTGATTCATTTTCTTACTGACAATCAGAGTCACGCCTAGAGCTCACAACAGTGGTCACACCTCTGGGTGCAGAGTCCTGAGCACTCGTGGGCCCTCCCTCAGCCTCACAGTTGACCATTCGCCTCATTTTGCAGGTGAGTAAGAGGAAGGGCAGAGCGGCTGAGCGTGAGTCTGAGGGGATGAGTAAGTGATGGAGCCCGTGTCCGGTTCCTGCCGCGGGTCTCCCTGCACTACCACCTGCTGCCTCTGCTGAAAAGTTCACTCAGATCCATCACCTGCAAGACTCGGCAAAATAAAAGTTGATTCATACACGAAACGAAACGAAAAGAAAGTCTAATAAATTCTTACTTGTTTACCAGTGGAATACTAAGGGCCCAGCCAGCAGCAAAGTCTGGATATTTAAAAACTGTAGGATTTTCGGAAAAGGCATAATGGTGAATTATTGTGGATTCTTCATCATGTAATGCTTTTCCTAAAAACCATTCCTGTTAAATAAAGATATAAAATTTTTTTAAAAAGCCATTTCATGCACGACCAAAAACAAATTGGTATCATTAGTTTTAGTTAAATATCCTGGGTGATAGAGAATAAGCACAGATTATATGTTTCTAAAGAATTTTAACAAAAATATAATTATTACTCATGTGATAATGAATATAGCATAATCTTGGTCTATAAAGAAAGTAATTTAAGATCAGATCATCAGGATGAACAAAATGTTAGTCATCATTATACTATAAACACATAAAAGTGGTATTTTATAGAACATTCCTTATCAAAATACTATTAATGGGAAGAAAACAGTGTTCCTTTATGTCCCACTGAGGTTTGCCAAGAAGAATTTGAAAGATTCCTTCCAGAATCAGTGCCTATTTTATTCATTTATTCACTCATTCAATTAACATTTATTATCATTTGTTATCAGTTAACATGCATCCCATGCCAGGTGGGAACAGAGCTTACACAATAGTGGGGAGACAGAAAGTAAGCAAGTAAATAAAGTAAGTTCAGACAGTGCTATGATGAAAATAAAACAGTGGCGGGTGACCCTGGAAAGAGAGGGAAATCTCTTAGGAAGTTACAGTTGAACAGAGATTAAATAACATCAAGGAACCGGCTAAGCACAAATCTGGGGAAGAACAGGTGAGGCAGTTAATACAAAGTCCCTGAGGTGGGAAAAACCTTCATATATTCTATCAAAAAATGAGTGCAGTGTGGCTGGAATATACGGGGTATGGGAAACATGGTATGAAAGAGAAGCAGGAGATAGACCAGGGTTCAGATGTCACAACAGAACAGCCTGGATCAGACCGACTCTCCCACCAAGAGCAAGTATAAAAGCTGGAGAAATTCTTAGAGCAAATGACTGAGGGCATCAAAAAACAACAAAGGCAAATAGGATGTGAGGGCTAACATCTGAGAGAGAAGGGGAGCCCACCCATGGGAGCCCCATATTTACCTCCTTTTACCCTCAGGGAATCTGCTGATTACCCGATTAGAGGACAGCACACAACCAAGAGCAGGCAGCTGGGGACTCGTGTAATCTGGCTGCACTGCAGAGACAGAGGCTGGAGCCGCAAGCTGCCGAGATGGTAGAGATTTAAGGGGATCCCAGAGGAGTGAGCCCCAAATTCTGCCTGCGAGCTTCCCTCAACTCCTAGGCTGCACAAAAACCAAGGGAAAACACAAGAACCAAGTGGAAAACAGCAGTGAAGTGGCTAAAATCTGAGCAGAGACTTCAGCAGTAGTTCTGGGAGCCCAAGGCTGGAGGGCAGGGTCTGCCGGGGGAAAAGGGTCTAGAAGTAAGGGCAGTCTGTAGATAGACCTACCCAGACAAGGTCTACTACCCAGAAGAATATTAAATGCACAAGACCAGACCAATAACAGAGAAAAATGAGAAACAGAGATTCACAGATAAACTAGGTTTTGCAGTTTAAAAAATATATAATATGAAAATAGATCAAAAGATGATGACTTTTACCAAAGAACTAGAATCTATAAACAAGAGTCAAATGGAAATCCTAAAACTGAATAATGCAATAACTCAAGTTAGGAATTCAAGAGAATATTAGACATAACAGAAGAGAGAAGAGTGACCTGGAAGGTAGGTCAGTAAAAAATATCCACATTTATGCACAAAAAAGAAAACAAAGAGGAACATACAGAAAAGAGCTTGAGTGCAACACGGGACATAGTGAAAGGTCTAAAATACACGATGCTCAAACTAAGCAAAGTAAGTCAGAAAGAGAACGACAAATACCATATGATATCACTTGTATGTGGAATCTGAAGTACGGCACAAATGACCTATCTACAAAACGGAAACAGACTCACAGACATAGAGAACAGACGTGTGGTTGCCAAGGGGGGGGGAGGGAGAGAGATGGACTGGGAATTTGGGGTTGGTAGATGCCAACTATTACATTTGGAATGGATAAACAACAAGGTCTTACTGTAGAGCACAGGAACTATATCCAATCTCCTGGCATACCATAATGGAAAAGAAAACTTAAAAAAAGAATGTATGTATGTGTAAAACTGAGTCACTTTGCTGTACAGCAGAGATTGGTACAACATTGTAAATCAACTATGCTTCAATAAAAAAATAAATAAAATACATGATGTTCAAAACCCAGAACAGGAAGAGACAGACAATGGAACTCAATCAATATTCGAAGAAACACAGGCTTAGAACCTTCTTAAAAACTGACACAAGTCATCAAGCCATAGATTCAAGAAGCTCTGTAAACTCTAATCAAGAGACGTACAAAGAAAACCACATAGGCAAATGCTGGTTGAAAAACCTAAGATAGAGAAAATCTTAAAAGTAATTTTGGGGGAGAGGTGTACACATTTCTTTCAAAGGAGCAAAAATAAGACATACAGTTAACTTTTCAACAAAAACAAGACAAGTGAAAGAACGGAGCATCTTTACAGTGATAGAAAATTACTGCTGACCTGGAGTGTGACACCTCGTGAAACTATCTTAGGTGCAGTGGGAAACCACAGGAAGTTTTTGAGCAGGTGCACAAGAAGATCTGAATTACAGAGATACTGGATTATTGGGATGGCAAGAACGGAAACCAGGAGAGCAGCTAGGATGCTTAAATCATGGTCAAGGAAAGAGATGACAGTAGCCTGGACCACAGTAATAGTATTCAACACAGCAGGAAGATAGATGAGAGGTGTATCCTGGAGGGAGACTCCACTAAATATGCCAGCATGAGGCTGAGGGGAAAGAGGAATCAATCACCAGCCCTAGGTTTTTTCATATGAGCAACTCAATAGACAGTGATGCCATTTCTGAGATGCAGGAGACTGAAGATGGATGAGGTTAAAAAGGGGCATGAAGAGTTCAGTTCTGAACAAGCTGAGTTTGAGGCTCCTGGTAGACAAGTAGGCGGCTGGACATAGGAGTAGGGAGCACATAACTCCCTCCCTCGGTTCCTTCATGCTTGGCTCAAATGTGACCTGATCTGTGAGATTTTTCCTGAACACCCTCTACGGAAAAGTAAGCCCATCCCAATCTATCCTTCATCCCTCTTATTTTGCTTTATTTTTCTCCATAACACTTATTACCATCTGACACATTGTTTCACATTTGCCTGTCTCCCCTGCAAAAGACTATCCCATCCTTGTGACCAGGGATGTTGTCTATTTTGCTCACTGCTGTATCCCAGGATACCTAAATGTCCCAGGTGCCCCTAGTTTTGTGTTAAATGAGGCAGCAAGCCCGGGAGAGCTTTCAAAGGCAACTATGAAACAAATGTCAGCAGATAATTTAAGTCAAGTACCCTAAGTTCTAAAAGTTCTGTATATTTTCTCTTTTACCCAACCATCACCCCCTCACTCCCTATCCCTTATCAGAAAATAAAAGCATGAGGGATACAGTGCTGTCTCCTCAGGGCCCTCTTCTGCTCATGGTTGTGTTCCAAATACCTCCCAGAGTCTTAGTTTGGGTCAATTCAGCAACAAGTCATAAATGAACATACGTGAAAGCCAGTAACACAACTGTGTGTCTAGGTCCATAGTTCCACCCGAGGATTTCTTCCTGACATTTTATGGATATATTAAATCACCACTGGGCAAGAGAAGTGATTATAAGGCAAACAGCCTTGGCTTGAGATAGAATATTCAACATCTTTTTAAAAAAATCAAACTACTAAAGATTAACCAATATGAAAATCATCACATTTAACACACCATGTAAATATAGCTTGTTTAAAGAAAATAAACACTTCAGTATATTTTAGCACCTTTCTCAATAATCTTTCACTGTTATAATCTCCTGTTCCAAACATAAATTTATGCAGAACATGTTTTTATGTTTCAACAACTAATAGCAGTGTTCAGCTATTATCTAGTATATAAGATTGTTTTTCAATACTTTGGGGGGGATTATACTGTAAACTACTCTAAGGGAGAAATTAATACAGATTCTGTGAAGAGACACTGCCCCATCTTTCTTGATAATTTTCTTAATGCCTTCGTAATAAAGACAATTACAATCAAGACAGACTGTAAAAGAATAACTCAGTGTTCTATTAGTATTGTTAGAATTACTCTTTGCTAGCACTGTGTCACCTCTATTAAAAATTAAAAATTAGAGACATTTCAGCAAATATACACATGTTAAAAGCATACTGTGGGGAAAAAACAGGAAGACTTCAATAAGATACAGAAATTTATAGAAATCACCTAGAAAGGCAATTTAACAAAGATTAATTACTTTAATAAAGATCAAAGTTTTTCATTTAAAATATTGTGTAGCAGCATAAATTTGCATTAGTAAGAATGACAAAATGATATTGAAGGGAAAAAATGTCAGAATCCAACAAAGTAACTGATACTCTAACACATTATTATGAGTTTAATGTCGTTTATCTCTGTCAATATCAAAGCCAGGTTTGTCTTATACTTTTTCCCTAAAATTTCATATGGTAGGGGAAAAAAAATTACACTGGTTTGAGCTAACTTCAACATTATGTAATTTTTATTCCCAAATGCTAGTTTCAAAAGAAACAAAGCATCCTAGATTTTTTTTCACGTGGTACTGCTCACAAAAGAAGAAGAAAGCATCTCATTTTACCCCTTGGCTCTGTACTTGCTTTTCATGAACTTGCTTTGAACTTATCATTCCAATTTTCATTAAAAAGTACAGTGAGTCACCATCTTCTGTACAGAATTAGAGCTATGGATAATGGAAAACATAATCTCCAGGTGAAACGAACACTAGGAGGAGATTAAAACTCCTACATCCTGAAAAAGATCTGGGAGTTTTTCTCAAGTCAAAGGCAAACATAAAAGCCTAACAAATGTTTTACATAAAATACGGCACCGAGTACACAGCTGCTGCTCAGCCGTCAGCTGAAAAGACTAGATGAGACACGTTCATAATTCTTTTCTCCTTTGAAGGAATTATTCTTTTAACCTAACAACCTTCTCATTCAATTATATCTGTACTTTCCCAGAAATCAAATGCATG